CCCCTGTGCCGCCCCCCGCCGCCCAAGTCTCCTTTCTCCGGGCCGGCCGGTCCGGTCCGGTCTGTATGTCAAGAGGACGCGCACAACAACGCTGCCCAGTGCTGCTCGGCCCTGAACTTCTCCCCACGGCGGTGCCCCCCCCCCTCTCTGTCTCTCTCCCTCACGAATCATCTTGTATCTCTTTTTATCGCCCGTGCGTGAGAGGCAAGGATAAAGTTGATGGCGGCCGCGGCTTCGCTTGTTCCCCGTCGAGTCGAATGGGTTGCCTACGCCACCGGCGCGGCCGCTGCGGGTGCGGACTGAGAGGCAGAGCTGCTCTCAGCTCTCAGTCTGGAGTTGGAGTATGGGGCCCGGCCGGGCCGCCAGCTGGCCGCCTTGCTTGGGGTCGTTAAGTCTCGCCAGCCACAACAAACGCCAAGAGTGATAAACACAAACACAGAAACATTGAACAGCGTCTGCGTGTGAGCTTGTATTCCCAGCGCTGCCAACGGAGAGGGGGTACGGATGGCGGGCTGGCGAGGCAACTGGATACAGTACAACTACTGCCATGGAGTCAAGAGACTCTATGCTATGGTAAACTGTTGCCGAGTTCCCGGGACGTCTCGCGCGGGGGACAGGCCCGCCCGGTCCTGGCTGTTTGGGGCACAGTCTGCGGTGTTCTGACATCCCCCGAACCGAGAACTGGCAGCAAAAGAAAAGACAACCGAATTAAGGCTACCCTACCAAATGTGCAGAACTCCGCACCCGGGTGTTTCGGTGCCCACGCCGCCGGTGCGAGCGGGTTTGCCTACTCCCTCTGCCTGGCCCCTGTGACAATGCAAGCCCGCCCGCACCAGCCGGCGCGCCCACCGAAACACCCGGTACGTGTACGTATTCGTTTGTGAATGTATGCAAGCCATTTTAGTCGTAGTGCCATGGTGGGACTATGTATGAAAATTTCATGTGCAAGCAGGAAGGTAATTACATTTATTATCCCTCAAACCCCCGCACCCCGCACCCGACGTAAGGAAAATGTGGGAGTGTACGTTTTTGAAAAGAAAAATGTGTGTTGACGAGCACTTGATCCCCGGGGGGCCGTGCTTCACAAGTGCACCACGCCCAGCAGTCCGGGGGAAGGAAGGGGG